GGCTTGTTTGGGCCTTATCTGGACGTTTGGTTTGCATTCTCGAAGCACATCAGTTTTGCTTCGCGAGCCAACACTGATAGATCTGTGCCCTTGTCTAATTATTTCATTGCTGCACATAGCCCAAAAGTGAGCGAAAGCCTATTTTTCACATAGCGATTTATTAGTTATAGATGCCTTAACAGATGCCCCATTCTTTTAATTAAAATTACCGAAGGTGCCATACTCAAAATACATCTAACTATGAACATGCCGTCTCAAATTCCAATTACCTTAGAATGACATGACCAAATTTTCTTGGCAAGATACATGCTTCGAAAGCCTCTAACATTGAATATATATTCTCAACATTTGAAATTACGATTCAGCAAGGCAAAAAAAATTATCATATCGAATCTCAACATTTGAAATACCGATTCAGCAGTGGAAAATTATCATAAGATGCCACTTAATAGCAATTTAATCTACTGAACTAAGCTTAACGCATTTTTCATTCACCAATTTGACTTCTCTCAGTGCATGTTACTTGAGCAAATAGATCACTTGGAAAAATAATAAAATTCACTCTCAAAAGCCCTTCAGTTTTTTAATCCCTCCGCCTTCAGTTTCAAGCTACTCGCATCTCTCTGAAAACTTTTATGTATGTATTGTTTCACTTGCAACTAATTAATATCTGTACATAGTTATTTTGCCTAAATTTGTCCTAAATTGAGGCAACCCATTCCACGTCTCAACAGATGGTTATTCATATCGACTCTATTATTCTCCTCTGCATATTTCTCTTCCATACTCACCTATTTAAGCGGATTAGTGTTTAATCCAGTTCTAACAAGTCAGCGAAGAGCGAATACACGTCACGATGATCGTAGCTCTCGAATTTCTATTGGGTTGAAAAGAAGCACTCGGTATTGCTTACGTCGAGGACGCAGGCTGGCTTCAAGCCATCCCAAACATTTCATTATGACGTCGTTGCCTCTAAATGAAGCGAAAATTTGTGCCTGGTACCAAGCATACACATATTTTTTCTCTCTAAATCTTCTATATATTAATATATATATATAATATATATATATATATATATATATAATATATATATATATATATATAATATATATATATATATATATATATATATATGAGCATTAATGGCGCTGTCCTTGTCATAGGTTTGTCAATAAGGAGGGATTTCCTCCTTGACGCCTCTAAAATCACATGATTGAGCGACATTATGCGATTGCATCGCTCCGCTTGAACTTGATCTACATATTCTAAAACACCAAACACACCAAAAGTTTGGGTGCAATCCGTCGTCATTTTGACCCTCCATCGCAGCCATAGTGAAAAGTTCTATTCATTCCAAACCGTTAAAATGTATACGAGTGGATGATGAGTCAAACGACGACGGCCTTCAGCCCAAACTTGATGTGTTGGGAATTTTAGAATATGTAAGATCAAGCTTCAACGGAACGGATCATCCATAATGTCGCTCATCTTGTGATTTTAGAGGCGTCAAGGAGCGAAATCCTCTCCTATGACAAGGATGACCATAATCTCTCTCTCTCATCTTCTCTCTATATATATATATATTATATATATACTATAACTATATGAGCATTAATGGCGTATCCTTGTTCATAGGAGGGGATTTCCTCCTATAGACGCCTCTAAAACACATGATTGAGCCGACATTGTGATGATCCGCTCCGCCTTAACATGATCTACATATAATCTAAAACCCCCAACACACTAAAGTTTGGATGAATCCGTCGTCCTTGGACCCCTTCATCCACTCGTATCAATTTTAACGGTTTTACATGAAATAGAACTATTTCACAAATGCTCGATAGAGGGTCAAAGGAGACGGATTCACCCCAAATTTTGGATGTGCGGGCGTGTGTTGGCGGTATTTAGAATATGTAGATCAAAGTTTCACGGAGCGGCTATCAATCCACCAATGTCGCGTCAATCATGCTATTTTAAGAGGGCGTCATAGGGAGGAAATCCCCTCCTATGACAAGCATACCCATTAATCTTCTCTCTCTCTCTTCTCTCTCTCTCTCTCTCTCTCTATATAGATATATATATATATAATATATATATATATATATATATATATATTATTATATAATTATATATATATATATATATATATATATATATAATATTATATATATATATATATATATATATACTATACTATATTAATATGGTTATTAGAGAAACGGCTCCCCAGACCATAAACTTTGGGGTGTTGCAGCCATTAACTTTTTTGTTATACATAAACCCTCATGAACTTTTGGAGAGTTGCACGTAACCCTAAACGAACTATTTTATTTTACTAAATCTTATCTGAAAATTTATATTTTGATCTTCATATTAGCACCATCAGCTCCAACGTGTCACTGGTAAGCACATGACAAAAAAAAATTCTTAACCCAAAAAAAATCCCAAAATAGGTAATTTTTCGATACTTAGGAACTATTTTCATCTTTTTTGACACATACTTGCCAAATGAGATGTTAGAACAGATGTTGCTAATTTAAATATTAAATAAAAAAATTATGTGAAAACAGTAAAATAAAATAGTTCATAGGGGTTATCTGCGTCTCGCCAAAAGCATGCATGTATCCTAATTTCGTACAAGCTGTAACTTTACCCCAAACTACGTTCTTTATCTTATCTCCCCTCAATTAATTGCTGAATCTTAGCCCTCAACACAATCATCTCCAAGTCCATCTAAAAAGATAGGAAAATTTTAATATTATACCAACAGACAATAAGAATATCCGATCCCTTAACGCATTTTGACCTCATCCAAGGGATTGTGACTCCCAACCAAATATTAAAAAACAACATATGAACCAAAAACACGCAACTAATTAGGTCTCACTATCGTATCTCCGGTTGTTGCACGGTCGCTCCAACTTATGCGTCGCTTTCCAATAATAGGTAGTTAAAGCCAACTAAAAATGTTTCTGAAAGGACCCCACGGAAATTAAACTTTCCTTGTTAGGACTTCACGATAGACATCCGACGGCTACGATTCAATCAGGGGGACCAAATAATATGTGGCCACCAACTTAGGGCTCTAACAAACCGTTCATTGTTATTTTTGTTTCTTTTTAAGGAAAAGAACGGTGATGGTAATGAAGAAGTAGTATTAAAATCGGTTGAGCATCTAATAGAATTTCCACAAATTTATATGTTTTTTTTAATTTTCATTTTTTTTGGGATTTTTTATTCATGGCACACCTGGTTTTGAAAATGTTGTACTGGGAGAGTGCATTGAACTATTTATTAGAGTATCAAGGTTATAACCTTGGCATGACTTTGGAGTATTAATATGGAAAAATGGTTTTTTGACATAATAATACTAGAGAAATACACATATATAGCCACACATTGCATATTTATGAAAAAAGTAGATATTATGTGAGTTTGGATTTCGGCCTATAAAAAGGGCACTCAGCCTAGAAGAGTATAGTAGAGTATACAATGATAATCCTTAACGTTCACCACAAGTTGATATTGAGTTTTAATTTTCCTAATAATATATTGAAATATTATTTAATTATCGGTTTTTCTATAGAGTGTCCATGGGCATTCTATAAGAGAGGAGAGAGATAGAGAGAAATGAATGAGGAAAGGATCCCAATACAAATCAGGGGGCCCCCTCCCTCATTCATTTCTCTCTATCTCTCTCCTCTCTTATAGAGTGCCCATAGGCACTCTATAGAAAAATCGTTTAATTATTATCTGTATGAATAATTTACATCCGTGATGTTTTCTGATGCTTGTACGTATACAGATATGGTTTTGTATATATCCAATACTTTTATTTGTAACAATGTTACTTTAGTGGTCCAAGTGGAAAGATAGCGGCTAGGGCGTTTATATGCCGGCTTAGCAACTTTGTGCATTTGTTGAGTTGGTTGTATTTTCATTTACATTTTAAACCCTATCTTTCATTTTGTTGAATTGTTTTATGGGTTGGAAAGTCCATGTCCTCCTACTAACAAATCATTCTTACCACTTCCTTTTTTGATTAATCTAAAAGCCTATCTTAATGCTGCCCTTTTTGTTGAAAGTTTTAAAATAAACCTACAAGCCTTTTGAGTCTTGGAAGTTGCTTTTAGCTTCTCAACTTTTCTTTACATAAAAAATACGTACTTCTGTTTAGGTATTTCTAAAATTAGATATTTTAAAGCAGTTTTCTTCTTTTCCTTTTTTTAATAGATATTTTACCAGATTTAACACGAGTTGTTTATGAAATCATTAAAATAAATAAAGTAATTTAAAAGAATAATTTTTTTTTTGCCTTATGAACAGCGCAATGCAAATTTTTCTCCAAGCGTGTAAGTTACAACGCAGATACCAGATACACAAGAAAGAAGACAGTGTGGAATGTAATATGATTCTTGGTAGTTACAAGCAGCTGCTTTACAGAACAAAAATTGTTAAGTAATATGAATGTGGCTCTATAATTAAAAATTTTAATTATTTTAAGGATTAATTACAGAAAACCCCTTTAACTTTGGGGGTTTTGCAAATTGCTCCCTTAACTATTTTAATTTCACAAAATTCTCCTTAACAATGAGGGGTTTGCCGCACATAAAATCCTTAAGCTTCTTTTATTCCACTAGACCCCATGAGGATTTTCACTTTAACTCCCAAAAGTAACAACGTCATGTCTAATACATACCATGAAAGACGGAACTATTCTCAAAGTCTAAAAAAAAAAAATCACCCTTTTATTGTTTTTATCAGTTTCATTAATGTTGGACGGTTGAGGAATATTTTTATTAGCCCTTTTCGTCTTTTAATCCTTCCTCTTATCTCCATCTACCACATTTGTCTCTCTTTCTCTCCTTCTCTCTCTATTTATGTTTTTTTTTTATTTTTTTTCTTTCTAGTTAATAAGTTACATGAATATATTGGCCTGGTTACCTCAAAAACAAGGAACTCATGTAGGTGTGCACTAGAGTATGAGAATATTCCCTCCCTAATGAAAGCCATAAACCTTTTATAAAACAATTTATATCGGCAGCCAACGAGCTACCCACCAAAAACACAAAACGAAAACAAGGGAGCAAAGTGCAATCCCAACCATTTTCTTCAGCGCATGTATATAAATTCAAAGAAAGAAGAGAGAAACCAGCTGTTGACGAGAGAAACAGAGGAGAGATCAGAGAGGAGTTAAGTATGGACTGCTGCATTTGTAGTCCGATGATTGCAGTTTACAGGCCTCCAAGAAACACAATCTGCTCTCGTTGCTACGAGGGAGCCCGGAGCATGGTTGACTTCTTCAAGGATGTTGAAATCCCCGGCGGCGCCGGTGACCAAAAGGCTACCGGTTCTGAAAAGTCAATCCCCGGCTCAGGCCCCGGCTCGTCATCTATGGCAAGTTCAATTTGATTTCATATTCCTTGGTGTTCTTGATGGCATTTAGTATCAACCTCTCTTTGGTTATAATTAATTGTTTTTCGTTTAGCATCTATTGACGGTGAGCACAAGTTGATTTGCTCGTAGCCTTGCTAGAGTTTCGAATGAAATAAGATGAACTTCTCATTTATATTACAAATTATATACCTTCAGTTTACAAATTTATCATCTTATTGAGTATTATTAACTGAAACCAATTTCCTCAGCTTCCGAATTTGGTGACAATATTCTTCATAGCATTCAAACCCTCTGCTTTGTGGAAAAATCATCATTTGATGGAGAAAAATTTATTAGCGCATTTCATAGGACCCAAAACTCTCCATAAGCTTCCCAAAATTGGAAACTCAACGTTGTTGAGTTGCATTCTGGAAATGTATGTTTCTTGCAGCCAAAACAACTTCTTGATTCTTCTGCTTGAGGGCTAAGATTGTCTCTTCCTTCAACAGTTTCAAAGGAATACTTGAAGGCTAAGACGCTTGTGAGAGAGCTCTTCCCTTGACCTTCAATTTTCATTTTTAAATGTATGTCTTTCAAGTTATTTTTTTTTTAGTTTAAACATTACTTCATAAAAACTAATTAATTAAGGATAATTTCGCTGAGAAAAAGTAAATCTTGAAATGCACTAGAGTACTTTTCTACTTGTGCAACAACAACAACAACAACAACAATCAAATCTAAATTTAACATTAATAAAATATATCGAACCAGTGATATTTTTTCGAACCAATACTGAATCCAAATATGTTTCCAATATCTTTCTTCCCAAAAAAAAAAAAAATTCCCGCTAAATATGTACCAGCCAATTGGAATACTCATGTAGAGATGCAGAGTTTTCTCTTCTTTCTTTTCCCTAAAAAACGGTTATACATGAGAATTCAATGATGATGGTGACGTTGGAATATTCTTTCAGGGGATGCTAGACGTTTACAAGAAGATGAAGGATCATAGAGAGAAGGAAGGACAACTGAACGAACGGTTGGGCTTTGTAGATGGGCTTTTGGGGGCATTCAGAGAGGGAATCCATACAGACATCCTTGTACAGGGTGGAAGTGGGCCCCCAATACCAGCCCACAGGGCATTGCTGGTGAGCTCCTCTATTACTTTAGTGAAAGCGCAATTTTAAGGGGACTAGTAATGATATAAATAATGTTAGGGGCACACCCCCTAACACCAATCTCATGTGGGGCCCGGTTTACTGTAGCGATGGGAGAGGGGGGTGTGGTTGGTGGTGTGGTAGGGGGTGTGCCCCTAACACCACTCGTAATGATATTGACGCCACAGGTCCCTACTAATTTATTATTAACATCATGTCAGAAATTAGTCCTCATGATTCACATAAAAAACATGAGAATAAAAATATGTAGAAATTATACCGTGTTTGGGTGGGTTTCACATCCAGAGTTGATGGGCCTTAAATAGAAGTTAGGAATCAATTTTATCCCAAAAGCTATAGCTATTAGGTATTGACCCAAACTCCTATTTAAACTCATCACTCTTTCTTATATTATCCGATGTGGGACTATACTCACATATTAATCACCTCAACACAAACATAGTAATCACATCTCGTGCGCTTGTTAGACCAAACTTTGTAAACACTCGTAATTCATGCGTGCAGGCAACAAGATCCGAGATTTTCAAGACCGTGTTGTCCTCAGACGAGTGCAAAGCCCCAGCAGACGGCACAATCTCACTCCCAGAGCTAAGCCACGAAGAGCTCCAATGCCTCTTAGAATTCCTTTACTGTGGGACTCTAAAGCCCGACGACAAGGCGAACAACCACCTGTACTCGCTTCTAATAGCCGCCGATAAATATGACATCCCCTACCTCAAGAGCTTCTGCGAGGTTCGGATCCTTCGATCTTTGGGCCCCGCCAACGCGCTCAGGGTGTTGGAGGTGTCGGAGATTTGCTCGAATGCGAAGCTAAAAGAGGAGGCGATGAATTCTGTTGTAAAGCATATGGAGGATGTGGTTTTGTCGAGGGCTTACGATGCTTTTGCGGTGAAGAATGCGCATTTGTGTGTTGAGATTACAAGAGCTTTGTTGATGGAGATGAAGACCAAAAGGGATGATCAGACGTTCATAGATTCCTTTTGAGTGCAGATTTGCGACTAAACTTGCTGTATGAGCTAGATATCAGTTCACACGAACATTTAATATGACAACATACTTTATACGTAAATAATAATGTTATGTGATGATGAGCATCTTAATTCGAAAGTTTGTGGTATCAATAGATCAATTTTCTAAAGAGCAAAGTTGTTCGAAGAGACATTAGATCTAGGAGAGAGAATTTATGTTTGTATATTTCAAATTCATATAATATTTTAGTTGAGTTATTCTCTTCTTTTTCTCTCGTTTGAGGATCCACGTATTTGCGCGGATAGGGACCTTGTATCATCACCCGATTGCAGATAGGCCTCTATAATTTCTTTTTACTCTTAAAAAAGTCAGAAAAGTTTTATAGAGGCAGATAGACCGGCCACTTGAGGTTTTTGTGTTGAAGATAGACTTCCAATTGTTTTCTTGCAAGTTTTAAAAGAGTCTGAAAAAAGTTTACTAATAGCGTCCATCCACACTTGATCAAATGGTACAGGGTGTCTATCTGCACAAACAGAACGAAAGGCGTCTCTTCGCAATTAGGCAATAGTAAAGGAGTCTATCCACAATTAATCCTATTTTTATTAAGTTTTCCTTAGAGGGCCCATTATGCACTCCTTAGAGGATGGGTGGGATAGAAAGAAATAAATAGCAAGTGGATCACTCCAGACTTGCACTAATTTCTTTTCTTACCTCTTCTCTCTATCTCTCTCATCCTCTAACAAGTGCTAATGAGCAACCGTTACAAAACTCTTTTTTATTTTAGTCTAATTGGAGTTTGTATTAAACGTAAAGCCTATGAAGTTTGCATTTGTCATTTGGTTAATCGAGTCTTTAATAGTATTTGTGTAGCAAGATTGAGAAAGTACATGTATCCATTGAGAATAGTCCATGCCATTTAATGTACACCAAATTGATGTCAACTATTGTATTAGTGCGTGAGTTCTGAAATCTACGAATTCAACAGTTAACATTCATTTGGTGCATATTTACTTTTAGGGCCAGCTTATTTGTTATAGGTAAACCCGTACATTATGAGTGCATTTTTGTTGCGATCAATGTTCAAAGTGCACTCAATTTTGACCAGTGAGATTTTGCATTCACTTTAGGGTTCTTGTACCGATAAACCCAAAGCACTTTACACCCAACATATCTGACTTATTTATTTTTAAACCAATCGCATGTACATAATGAGCGCATTATATCGGTAAATCCCAATTAAACATCTTAACTTTGGGGAGCTCCCCCCCCCCCCAAAAAAAAAAAAAAAAAAAAAAAAAACCCCGAAACCCGAATTTTTTTATCCGCTTGATTTCTGAAAAGTGAAAAAGGGTAAGTAGGTAAATTTTAATGAATTAACGGATATTTTTCGTTTTTATTTCCTCTAAGGGCTTGACACATGACTGACATAGTTACTTGGCTTTGGGGAAGGGGCTATTTGCAAATATTCTTTTGGTTGGGTAATGGGGCTTTTAAATTTTTTTTTTCGGGTGTTGGGGTTGGGGGCGCAGGTGAAATTTACCGCCTATTTATCCTGCACAGACAATTGAAAATCCCGAACTTACCAAATTACCCTCTCCTTCCTCCCTCTGACACGTACTCCGAATCAACTAATCCTTCCGCACCCGACCCACCTCCCGCCGCCGCACCCCTCCTCCTCCTCTCTCCCCCCTCACCATTGAAGAAGCTCTGCATTCAAATCCATTCCACCTCAAAAATGAGCATGCTTTCTGTTACCCTTTTGAGCTTTCATTGTTCTTATATATGTGCTTCTTTGCTAATTATGTGTCTTTTTTATTATGGGGTCTCATGTCAATGGTGATTCAAATTTATGTTCAAAGGTTCGTTCTCCCCTTCTCTTATAAGCTCCCACTTCACGTTGTCTCAAGTTCATCTCAAGTAGCATGCTTATCTTGTTTTTGTAGTAATGCCCAAGAGAAAATTTTGACATAGTTTGGTTGGAGTTGGGTTACGATGAGCGTTAGATTTAGAATGAAAAATAGCTGCTCGGTAGACAAATCAACTGCCCTTAGCGTCATAATATATAGCTCCTCCGCTACTTTTTTTTTTATAGCAGGGAGGATCCAAATTTGTGTGCATATAAATCCGCTAGTTGTAAGCGTGTATTTAAATCTTTCCCTCGTGCATGGTTGCTCTTAACCTTTCAATCTTTTCTCTATGATTTCAAAAATAACCTATTTTTTTGAAACATTTGAGCGAAACAAGCCATAATGAAAACCCTACATTATTCATTTTATAAGTTTATATTGGTCGTAATTATACACAATATTAACATTGTACGGATGAACAGCTCCTCTTCTAACCACAAAGATGAAAGATTTTGAAATGCACCCTACTTATGAGACTTTGAATTGCATATCTGGAACAAACCAATACCATCCTTAAAGGAAAGATCCCCTGCCAACGAACATAGAACTAGCATTATACATATTTTTTATTTTATTTCTCTCAGTTGTAGCTGTAGTTATTAATTCTATTTATTCTTCAACAAACGACCAAAAAAACTCATTTATCATTGCTTCATAATCCCATGCCATGCCATCTCCTCCCCCAAAACCAAACATTTCCTCCCAGTTTCCAGTGGCGCTTGTTGTAGCTTCTTGCTCTTTCGGTGAACTGTGCAGGAGCTCTGTGAACTCGGCTGTTATGGCCGATAACGCTTCATCATTGTTCTGAGATTTGTTAGGGGAGCTAGAGGCATTGCTTTCATCCTCTTGATTTATCATAAATTCGCATCCCATGTCCGAAGTTATGGGTTTCGAGTTTGTCTCAAAGTTCTTGCATGTATGTTGCATAATATAGGAGACTCTGAACTTTGGCGCATCATCATTTTCATTGTAGGCCTTTTGTTGCACTGTCTTCTTTGCTGGGCATCCTTGGCCTTTGAAGTGCGCGCATTTGTAATAGTTCCTGTTTTGTATAAACGCATGCAAATGAGTTCAGATTTAAAAAGGAAATATGAACTTTGGTTTAATCTGAGAATAACTTGCATAATTAAAATATTTTCAACAAGAAAAATGATGAGACGACCTTTGAAACTTTTCCCCATTGATTTTCTTTTGCCCATACTTTCTCCATAGATGTCCATCAGCATGCGGGATCGATGTTACCAATGTCAAATTAGAATTTCTGCAGCGACAGAAACATTTAAAGGTTAATTCAGAGTAATTTTTTTTTTGAAGTCGAACAACATATATTTACTACTACGGATCACAATTGTAAAGCATACAATGAAACCTCTTTTTTCCCTATGAAGGAGATAAGGAGAACAAATTAGGATAATTATAAGTTTAACTCCGAGATTGCGATTAGAGCAGAATTAAGTAAGTGTCACCTTCTTCTGTCGTCCTCACTAGGCCTCCTCCTCCTCTTCCTTTTTGAAAGGTTCATCCTTCCATCATCTTCATCACTAGCTTTAAACTCAACTGGTAAAGTTGCAGTCCGGAGCTCTAAACTTGCACTTGTCAGTGATCGTATCGCCTCATCGAAGAGGTCTCTCGCGAGCTCCGAGCTGCTGTCAGTAACTCCAAGAGGCAGCTGTAGAGCTCGGAGCTGAACCACGATCTCCTTTGTGTGGTTGATTTTCTCAATGACGACCCCTGTGCGATTGCTTGGCTCCATCTTTAGGCTTCTCCGTTTGTTCTCCTGCTGCCAGTGAGTTTGATTATGTGAGCTAACCATGCTTTATATAGCGGACTAAGTTTCCTAGTAATCAATTAATTTAGGATGCGAAAGTCTCGGTCTCCCTATCTGGAAAAGGCGCCTCCCCATCCGAAACAGGGAGAGGGGCCCATCTTCACGTATGTATTCTTGAAAAGTCTCTTTTAGTTTGCTTAATGGTTAAACTTAAACCTCATCAATCAAGGGTTAGAGATAATTTTTGTAGTTGGAACCGGAAAGTGTTTTGATTAGCTGACGCAATTGCTTTTTCATTTTCGTTTTTCTTTCTAAAAAGTTGCGGCATTTGACGCAACAAATTTTAATTGGCTGTAACATTTTGACCTCACTTCACATACACACAGAGAACACCCAATGTTCCCCAACCCCGAGAACACCCAATATTCCCCATCTCACCCTCCAACCCCCCCCCAAAAAAAAAAAAAAAAAAAAAAAGACCTTTCAAGATATCAGGAAACCTTCTTAAATTTAGGGGTTACCAAATAACTTATTTTAACTTTAATTTTTTTTCAAAAATCTCCCAAAGTATTGTAAATCGCAATTTTCACATGTGTGAGTCGTGTGACTACAGCTATCTGGATGATATTTTTGCCACTGAAAATCGGAGTTCACACTTTTAGCAGGGTTTCTGATATTATATTAACGTTAAAGAATGTCATAAATTGTTCAATTTAGTCACTATAAACTACTATGTTTGCTGTCAAAACAAAGATATAAAAAATATAAAACAAATTTAAAAGTTAGAAAATTCAGGCCTGATTGGGAGTAGTCGTGATATCACTGCCCTAGAAGATTAATGACCCGCCTATCGCCCTGTCGCAGTTTGTCCTCTCTCCCCTAGTGGTAAAAACCCCCGGAATCGGCCAGCCTCTGCACTCGGGCGTGAGTCACAGAGCTTATGCTCAGATGAAAACGGTTGCCCAGTAAAATGTAGCCGAAATTTCTTGGAGGTAAGAGAGTAGAGAAGAGAAGAGAGTTTAGAAAGTGTTCCTCTTCGTTGGTGTGTATCTGAATGAGCTCCAAGCCTCCTTTTATAGGTGATGAAAGGTGTAACCCCCGCTGAATCCAAGGGACCGTTACGCACGGTTAATGCTTCCGTTACCCGCATGCAGCCGTTACAAAATGTGTAAAACGTGCAAAAATGAAGGCTTGAGAAGCAAAAGTGTGCGGCTGCGGCGTGGCGTGCGGGCGAGGCGAGGCGCGGCGTGGCGTGCGGGCGGGCGAGGCGCGGCGTGGCGTGCGTGCGCGCGCGCGTGTGTGGTAGAACCGCAAAGCCCACAAAACCCAAAACACTATTCAAAGCCCAATAAGGAGAGAACCATTATATACCCTTTACTATTCATCTCATTTTCCGATGTGGGACTATCCACAAAGGCAAAATTGCCTTTTCATGAATAAAGCTTCCAACAGTCCCCCCCCCAAAAGGCAATATTGACTGAAAAATCCAAAAATAATAAATCAATAAACAAATCATAAAATAAATATAGGTTGGGCAACCTTTCGTATCGTGAATTCGGGAAAGGTAGCTTTCGGCTTTGAACCTTTCCTTAGTGAGTTCATCGCCACCTGAGGGACATAATGGACTAGGCCTTGAATTAGGCCCCTTGGATTAGGTATTGATAAAAACACACACAATACGTTTTCATCTATTGAGCTAAGCGGGTTGAGCGTTAAAGGCCATGCTCACAAAAAACCGACTCATGAGAGTTTCTAGGGGTTAGCCCAGCCCCCCCTAACCGCGGCCATCACGGTTCCTCTCACGTAGGTAAGTCCTCAAAGGGTACTACAGCTGTTTATTTAATACCCCCCACAATACACGCGTTGGACTTATTAAGAGTAAAACTCAGCCTAGCCAGCTGTATCATAAGAGCATCGTCATCATAGAGAAGGGGTAGTAGCAAATGCTACATAATGATATATAAATATATCTAGGTCGATGCTCCACACGAGAGTCACTTGTCCAGCTTGTTTCTACCACATTGAACCGACATTGGGACTACGTCTCCAAATAAGGGTTGGGTTGCCGCTGTCAGTGACCTTATTTATGGGCTTAACCCCATCTCCCTCGATGAATCCAGAACCACACTCCTGGATAATCCCTTAGTCAAAGGGTCAGCAAGATTTTTCTCAGACTTTACAAAGTCCAAGATTACAACTTTGCCTAATAGGCGTTGTACAGACTTATATCTTATTTGAATATGTCTGTTATGTTTTTTATTTACATGTACTTTTTTTAGAAGCTTTATGGTAGATCTAGAATCAGAATGAATAAAAATAGGAGGAGAAGGTTTAGGGACCAAAGGAAGTTCAGATAGTAGATCTTTTAACCATTCGGTGTCAGTGACCTCATTTATGGGCTTAACCCCATCTCCCTCGATGAATCCAGAACCACACTCCTGGATAATCCCTTAGTCAAAGGGTCAGCAAGATTTTTCTCAGACTTTACAAAGTCCAAGATCACAACTTTGCCTAATAGGCGTTGTACAGACTTATATCTTATTTGAATATGTCTGTTATGTTTTTTATTTACATGTACTTGCTTTAGAAGCTCTATGGTAGATCTAGAATCAGAGTGAATGGAAATAGGAGGAGAGGGTTTAGGGACCAAAGGAAGTTCAGATAGAAGATCTTTTAACCATTCGGCTTCTGTGCAAGTAGTATCAAGAGCAATTAGCTCAGATTCCATGGTGCTCCTGGCAATTATTGTTTGCTTACATGATTTCCAGGATACAGCAGCACCACCAAAAAGAAATACATATCCAGATGTAGACTTTACACTGTTGGAATCCGTGACCCAATTGGCGTTACTATACCCTTCTATAGCATCAGGGTAACCAGTGTAAGTCAAGCAATAGTCAATTGTGCCTTTTAGATATTTGAATACTCTTTCTAAGGCAGACCAATGATCTTTGCTAGGGTTGCTAGTATACCGACTCAGTCTCCCTACAGCATAAGCTATATCAGGTCTGGTTCGGTTGGATATGTAAAGAAGAGATCCAATCATCTGAGAATATTTTAGTTGGGAGACAGGTTCACCTTCATTCTTCTTCAAAGGTATAGAAGAATCATAAGGTGTGGAAACAGGTTTAGAGTTATGAAAGTTGAATTTGATTAGCATTTTATCAATGCTATGGGAAAGACTCAAAGATATTCCTCTAGTGTCTCTAGAGATTTTCATTCCAAGTATCATGTCTGCAAGACCTAAGTCTTTCATATCAAAGTTTTTGGAAAGATAATCCTTAACCTTTGAAATTAATTCAAGTGTTGTTCCAAAGATAAGGATATCATCAACATAGAGACAGAGAATGACATAGTCATTGTTTATCACTTTAGAATAGACACATTTATCGTATTCATTCACAGTGAAGCCATATTGTGCAATGACGTTGTCAAATTTCTGGTGCCATTGTTTAGGAGCTTGTTTAAGACCATACAAAGATTTAACAAGCTTACAGACTTTGTTTTCCTGACCCTTGGCAATGAGGCCTTCAGGTTGGTGCATATAGATTTCTTCATCTAAATCACCATTCAGGAAAGCAGTCTTGACATCCATCTGATGTATGATAAGCTTATGGATAGCAGCAAAGGCTAGTAATACTCGGATAGTTGATATTCGGGCTACAGGAGAATATGTATCAAAATAATCAATGCCTTTTTGTTGAGTAAAGCCTTTAGCTACTAATCTAGCTTTAAATTTATCTATGGAACCATCAGCTCTGAGTTTCTTCTTGAATATCCACTTACAACCAATAGGTTTACAACCTGGAGGTAAGTCGGTGAGTATCCAAGTATGGTTTTCCATGATAGATTTAATTTCATTATCAATGGCTTCTTTCCAGAAAGGAGATTCAGGTGAATCCATTGCTTCTTGGAATGAGCTTGGATCACCTTCAACAAGAAAGGTAAGGAAATCTTCTCCAAAATCCTTTTCGATTCTACCTCTTTTGCTTCTTCGAGGTTCAATATCAAGAGGTTGAGAAGAACTGGAAGATGGAAGATCAGAAGGAATGCATGGATGATCTGGGATTTTCTGAGATTTTAGATTTGAAAGGAAAGATGTTTTCAAAATAGATTGCATCTCTTGCTTCAATGATGGTATTGTTGGATATGTCACTAATTTCAGATTTGATGACTAGAAATCTGCTCTTGCTTCAATGATGGTATTGTTGGATATGTCACTAATTTCAGATTTGATGACTAGAAATCTGTTAACATTGCTATCTAGTGCATATCCAATAAAAGCAGCATCTACAGTCTTAGAACCAATTTTTCTCTTCTTAGGTTCGGGAATAGCTACTTTAGCCAAGCAACCCCAAACCCAGAAGAAATTCAGATTAGGAGATCTCCCCTTCCAATATTCATAAGGAGTTGTATCGGAATATTTCTGGGGAATCCTATTGAGAATGAAGCAAGCAGAAAGAAGAGCTTCACCCCAGAGATTTTCAGGTGCTCCTGAACTGAGTAACATACAGTTCACCATGTCCATTAGGGTTCTATTCTTTCGTTCAGCTACCCCGTTAGACTGTGGTGTATAGGGAGCAGTAACCTCATGAATAATACCGTGTTCTTGGCAATATTCAGTCATATGATTTGAGGTATACTCCCCCCCACGATCAGATCTTAGAATCTTGATCTTCCTGTCAAGTTGGTTCTCAGATTCAGCTTTGAACACCTTAAACCTATCTAAGACTTCATCTTTAGTTTTGAGAAGATAGGTGTAACAATATCTGGAGTGATCGTCTATAAAAGTCACAAAATATCTCCTACCCCCTCGGGTGAGAACTCGGTTAGAGTCACACACATCACTATGAATTAATTCGAGGGGTTCAGAGTTTCTAGTTATAGACTTGAAGGGCTTTTTAGTGTGTTTCCCTTGAACACGGATTTCACATTTAGATGAGGGATCATGAGAAGATTTAGGAATGAGGTTTAATTTACTCATT